AATTGATATGTATGTTTGAATTGATACATTTCTTCAATAAAAAAATAAAAAAATAAAAGTCTGCACCCGATCTCGTCTGATCTCGGAAGCTAGGCAGGGTCGGGCCTGGTAAGTACTTGGATGGGAGACCGCCTGGGAATACCAGGTGCTGTAAGCTTTAACATTTTCTTTACTACTTATCTAATACACTGGCCTATAGAGTGGCTGATCTTTAAATAGCTCACTCTTTGTGGCAGTCCTTGCTTACGGCCATACCACCCTGAGGGCGCTAGAGAGTCGCACTACACAGGAAGTGTGTTGGCTGCAGTAGGGAGAGGAAGGCTCTCCCACATCTCTGTTTGTTTTGGAGTTTTTGTATATTTGTTATTTGGACTATATAGTTTGTTGTTTTGGTGTTTAAACCACCTAACAGCAGCTTAGTGTTTTAATTAACAAATTTTAGAGAAAATGGAGGGTTGAGGGGTTTTCCCCATTTCAAAAATCAAAAGGAGGCTTTACACGAGCGCTGATATTGAAGATGGCACAAGATATGTCAAAGTGAGGTTCCCCAGAGAGGTGGTGTCACTCCCGTACAGCACGAAGATGGAGACAGCAGAAGGGCAGCAGTATTGCAGGGTGATGCACAGCTGCCAAGTGAAAACCTGTAGGTTGTGCATGAGCCCCGAGCATCTGCTGAAAGATTGGCCAGATTTTAAATGTTATAAGTGCGGGGAAAAGGGACACTTTGCACGGGACTGCAATACTGTCAAGTGCCCGGACTGCCATGAGTTTTTAATTAGATGTAAGTGTTGGATGGAAGAGGGGGAAGGAGTTGGAGAAGACCAGGTGGATGGGCAGATGCATGAAAGGAACAACAAGGAAAGAAACAATATAGAGGAGCAGGAAGCAGAGAAACCTCAACAAAAAAACAGGAGAGGAATCAGAGAATGGAGAGGAAGGAGAAGGAGAAAAAGAGAACAATAAGGATAAGGAACAGACAACAAAACAGGACACACAATTGACTGAAATGGAGATATCGGACAGTTTTAAAAGTTTTCTGGATGACGTGGAGAGAGATGGACAAGGAATAGAAGATCAAAACAAAGAAACGGACAATGAAGAAGAAGCAAGGACGGACAACATGGAAGAAGACAGAAGGGGGAGAGGGCAAATAAGAAGGAGATCATTAAAGGTAAAACCAAATGTGGAAAAAGCAAGGAAAAAATAATGACAAACAGATGTTAAGAGGTTTGGAGGGAGAAGATGGAGAATAATGGCTTGTAGGGATTTATTTTTTTTTCTTTTTATGGTTTTAAGTTGTGTTCATTTTAGTGCAAGGGGACAGATGGACATGGGAACATTTGAAAGAGTAAAAGAAAAATGTAAAGAAGAAGATGTTATTGCTTTGCAAGAAACCAATTGGAAAGAGAGTGTGATGATGGACTATAAAAAGAAATGGGAAGGGGATATTTTATATAACAATGGGGATGGGAGGCTTGGGAGAGGAGTGGCGTTTTTAATAAGAACATATGTTTTTAATGTAAGCAAAGTAGTGTATAAAGATAAGATGGGAAAATGTATGGCGGTAGAAGTAATTTGTGATGGACGTGAACTGATTTTAGTGAATGTACATGCACCAACAGAGGAGAAAGAAAAGAAATAATTTATTGATTTTTTGAGTATTATGAAGAAAAATAGAAAAATAATAATGATGGGGGATTTTAATACTGTTTTCAGTAAGCAGGATATGGCAGAAGGAATGGTTTTTAAATCGGACGCAGGGAGAAAAGAATTAAAGGAATTGATGAGTGAAAATAACTTAATATATGTGTGGAGAGAAATGAATGTTGGAAAAAAGGAGATTTCAAGTAGGCAAATAGTGGGACATTTTATATGTAAAACAAGAATTGATTATGTGTTGTGTACAAGAAATGTGGAGAATTTTATTGAAAAAATCAGATATGAAGAAACTAGTTTTAGTGATCATAAGTTTTTACATTTTAAAATAGATTGGAGTAATATGCAAAGGGGACCGGGAGTATGGATCTTAAATACAGAGATTTTAAAGAATGAAGACTATGTTTCAAAGGTTAAAGAGATTATGGAAAAGGAAAAGGAAAATTAAATGTATGATGAGGATAAGAGAATATGGTGGGAGAACAAAGTTTTTAATAAAAAACATTTCGATGAAGTATTGTAGTATTATGCGGAAATGCAGAATATTCAAAGAAAGAGAAATAAAGGAAAGCTTGGACAGGGAACTGAATAAAGAAAATAAAGACATACAAAAGATAAAGGAAGTGAAGGGAAAACTGAAAGAAATAGAAGAAAAAGAATATGAGGGGCGAGGTTAAGAAGCAAAGCAAAATATGTGGTGGAGGGAGAAAAATGTACAAAGTTTTTTTTTTGATCTGGAAAAAGGGAGAGGGAAAGCTGGAATGATAAAAGAAATAAGAGGGAAAAATGGGGAAATTGTAGAAGGGAATGAAAAGATTTTAAAAGAAATAAAGAATTTCTATGAGGATCTGTTTAGTGCAAGAGGTGTGGAAAAGAAGGAAAAAAATAAACTGTTGAATCAGATAAAAGCAAAAGTGAGGAAGATAAAAAAGAATGTGACCAAGAAATCAGAGAAGAAGAGATTGAACGAGCAATAAATCAACTGAATTAAAAGAAGAGTCCAGGAACAAATGGTTTGGGAAATGAATTTTATGTATGTTTTAAAGGAGTTTTAACAAAGATTTTAAATGAGGTTTTTAAAGAAATTTGTGAAAAAGAAGAAATTAACAAAAGAACGAGGATAGGGTTAATGAAACTGGTATATAAAACGAAGGGCGAAAAGGTAGATTTAAAAACTATAGGCCAATCACAAATGTTGAACACGGATCTTAAGATTTTAGCGAAGGTTATAGCAAACAGATTAAAGGAAGTTATGCCAAGTATAATTGAAACAAATCAAGCATACAGAGTAAAAGGAAGAGATATAGCTGACATACAAATGAGCATAAGAGACACCATATGGTATATGAAGGATAAAAGTGAAGATTGATATGTAATTAGCCTGGACTTTGAAAAAGCTTTTGATAGGGTGGAACACGGGTATTTATTGGAGGTTTTAAGGAGTTTTGGTTTTGGGGAGAATTTTATCAAATGGATTGAGATTTTATATAATGGTGCATTAACAAGGATAAAATGTAATGGGTTTTTAATAGACTGTTTTAAAATCACAAGATCAATTAGGCAAGGTTGTCCGCTTTCAGCTTTACTCTATTCACTTGTATCGGAACCTTTGGGATTGGCTATAAAACAAAAAGAAGAAATAATAGGGATAAAAATTGAAGAAAACAATGCTGAAGGGAAGGTTTTTCAATATGCTGATGACACAACGATAATTGTAAAAGGAAAAGATAGTGTCAAAGAAGTTATGAATGTTGTAAAAGATTTTTGTAAAGGATCTGGAAGTAAAATAAATGAGGAGAAAACAGTATATATGAGATTTGGTAAAGCTGTGGTTTTAATGGATTGTTTCAACTTCAAGGAATTGGAACAAATTAAGATTTTAGGAATTTTAATAGGGAAAAACTAGAGGAAAGTAAGAGATGAAATGTGGGAGGAACTAGTAACAGATATAGAGAGAAGGTTACATTTTTGGAAATTGAGAACATTAAACCTGAAGGGGAAGGTTTTAATATTGAATGTTTTAATGGTTTCTAAGCTTTGGTATGTTTTATATGTATCTGAGATGCCGTTGTGGACAGAAAAGAGGTTGAAGAAATGTTTTCTGGACTTTTTATGGGCGGGAAAGCCAGCAAGAATAGCGTATAACATGATTTTAGGGACGGTAGAGAAGGGAGGCTTAGGTTTAATGGATGTGGAACAGAGAAAAATGGTATGAGAGTAAAAATAGTGAAGAAGTACCTACAAAAAGAGAGCAAAACTGAATGGAAAAAATGATGAAATACTTTTTAAAGAAATGTGGGAATTTTAAAATGGCGGATGGAATTTTATGGATGAAAACAAAAATTTGGATGACGGAAGGATTACCTGAGTTTTATAGAGAAATGTTTAGTGCCTGGGGAAATTTTTTTACAAAAATTGCATACAGTCCACAAGGGAGAGAAAACATTTTAAATCAACCTCTGTTCTTAAATAACAACATTTTAAAACAAGAGAAAGAAATATTTTTTAAGAAATGGATGGAAGTGGGGATAACAAGAGTGAGAGATGTCTTGTATGAATTTAAAGATGGGTTTTTACCGCTACAATATGTTGTGGATGCGATGGACGAAGCAAAAGAAGAATACAGTAAGCAAGAAATAACAAACAAATATGAAATCATTAAAAGTGCAATACCCAAAGAGTGGATTAAAAGAATAGAGAGTATGGAAGGAGAGCAAACAGAGAAAATATTTGTGAAACTGGGGGAAAAATTTTATGATTTTAAAGAATGTACTGTAAAAATGTTTTATTGTGTTTTTAGAGATGGTGTATTTAAAGAGCCGATTGTAAAAAAAGTACTGGATGGAAAAATTCAATGATCTAAAAGAAGAATGTATATGGAGAAACATAAGGGGGAAATAATATTTTTTACTGAGATTATTTTAAGTAAAATAGGAATGGAACAACATGCGATATGTAATGTGTGCCAGGAAAAAGAAGAGGGGATTTTACATCTGTTTTTATATTGTAAGGAATTGGAGGAATTTTTAAAGAAATGTAAATGTTTAGTTAAATGGTCTATCAGCATGTCGCCGCAAATGGCAGCAAGGACGCTGAGCTCCGCAATTCTTCTATTGTTTTTGTTTGTTTGTTCTGTGTTTTGATTTTTTCCTATACTTCTATTTCTGTATATAGTACATTATTCAATTTTTTTTATTTTATTATATTAGTTTTATATTACATCCCTACTGTGTTATTCCTATGTATGTCTACACTATCATGTATGTCTGCACTATGTTTGTACTTTCTTCTACACTGGAAGCTCCTGTCGTCAAGTCAAATTCCTTGTGTGTGTAAACATACTT